AGAGAGAGAGAGAGAGAGAGAGAGAGAGAGAGAGAGAGAGAGAGAGAAAGAAAGAAAGAAAGAAAGAAAGAAAGAAAGAAAGAAAGAAAGAAAGAAAGAAAGAAAGAAAGAAAGAAAGAAAGAAAGAAAGAAAGAAAGAAAGAAAGAAAGACATCAGAGCAAACCATGGATGGACAGAAGACATGCCTAGTTTAAGGAAAAGAAGGATGAGGTGACATGATAGCATCTTCCAATATCTCAGCGCTTGCCACAAAGAAGAAATGTAAAAAAGATGTTGAGACTCTAGAAAGAGGGCAGAGAAGAGCAACCAGGATGATGAGGGGACTGGAGGCTCAAACATACAACGAACGGTTGCAGGAACTGGGCCTGGCTAGTCTAGGGAAGAGAAGGACCAGGGGAGACAGGAGAGCATCTTCCAATATTTGAGGGGCTGCCCCAGAGAGGAGGAGGAAGGGGGTCAAGCTATTCTCCAAGGCACCCGAAGGCCAGACAAGGAATCATGGATGGAAACTGAACAAGGAGAGATTCAACCTGGAAATAAGGAGAAACTTTCTGACAGGGAGAACAATCTACCCATGGAACAGAAGTTGCTGTCAGAAGCAAAAACATATGGACTACACAACTCGATCAGGGCAAAGCAATAGATGCAATCTACATAGACTTCTGTAAAGCTTTTGATTCAGTGGTACACAACAAACTACTCCTAAAACTAAAATCTTGCGGTATCTCTGGACACCTGCATAACTGGATAGAAGCTTTCCTGTCAAACGGACAACAAATGGTCAAAATTGGGAGCGTCAGAAGTGTGAGGCCCGGTCTGACCACCCATCCGTTTACCTTCACAAAATTGGACCTGGGCTCCCTCAGCATGGCTTTAAGCATTCGGACGGCAGCTTTTGTGTTGTGGATTGTGTTGTCCTTCATGCCTCGGAGGGCAGCCAGAATTAACTCCATTTGATCGTCTGCACGCAGGTATTTTTTCAATATCTGGAAAGAGAAAGGAAGTGAAGCCCCAAATCATCATCTTCGTTTAACCACCCCATAATCCCTTGCAGGGTGGAGCCTGGGCAAACGGAATGGAGCTAGCAAAGAGTGTTTGAAGGGCCGGATGCCTTTCCTGTCGGCAGTGCGGAGTTTTGTTCGGCAGATATATCCAAGGGTCAGCTTCAAATTTATCCGCAACCAGTTATCTGCCTGGTTGCTGGGTGGGCGTGGCCATGGCGGGCGTGACCTAGTCGGCCTCTTGCACCATGGGGGGGGGGAAGCGTTTTTACCCTTCCTGAACCCTGGAGGCTTTCCTTGAGCCTCCGGGAGGGTGAAAACGGCCTCCCTGGGTTCTGGAAGCCCTCCAGAGGCCGGAAACTTCTGGAAGGCCCATTTTTCACCCTCCCCAGGCTCCGGAGGCTTTCCTTGAGCCTCCGGGAGGGTGAAAATGGCCTCCCTGGGCTCTGGAGGCCCTCCAGAGGCCGGAAACTTCTGGGAGGCCCATTTTTCACCCTCCTGAGGCTCCGGAGGCTTTCCTTGAGCCTCCGGGAGGGTGAAAATGGCCTCCCTGGGCTCTGGAGGCCCTCCAAAGGCCGGAAACTTCTGGAAGGCCCATTTTTTACCCTCCTGAGGCTCCGGAGGCTTTCCTTGAGCCTCTGGGAAGGTGAAAATGGCCTCCCCAGGCTCCGGAGGCTGTAAACTGGCCCATTTCCAGCCTCCCGGAGTCTCAGGGAGGCCCATTTTTCACCCTCCCAGAGCCTCCGCTTTGGCCCTGCACTTACCTGGCATCCAAACAGGCCACGTGGTGACTCCTAGGAGGGGCGTGCGGGGCCAGCCAGGGGTGGGATTTACCGGTTTGCTGAACCGGCCATAAAACTAGCTACCAGTTCGCTTGAACCGGGGCGAACCGGTAGCAGCCCCACCCCTGGATATATTCTCAGGATGCCCAGAGGAGAGAAATAAACAGTCTCTACCTGGGATTGAACTCACAGCCTCCTGATTGTGAGGCAAAAGTTCCACCTCTCGGCTGCCGCACCGTTTTCAAACTGAAGCTAGCAAATCGGTTCTCTGGCTGCCGGCAAACCTCCAAATTTTCTGGGATAAAGAAAATTACCATGGCAGCCATGCTCACATCCGAAAACCAAGCCAGCCAGAAAATCTTCTCTTCTTCCCATTCCTGTAGAAGATCTAAATATTCCTGTTTGTCTTCTGTCTTCGTCAGACCTCAAGGAACACAAAAATAGAGAATATTCACAGTGCCTTAATAATATTGATAAAAAGTGATTCCTGTAGATACGTCATTGGTTCAAAAGAGAAAAATGTCATATTAAGACTAAGTATATATCTATCTATCTAAAAAGAAAAATCAGAGATAAATCTACATAATTATAGTCTATGTAGTTCTATTCCATAGTCCTAAGAAAAAATATGTTATATATTTTTCAGTATACAGTATAACTACATATATATTATAAATTAAATATGAATATTTACATAGATCTCCATTTTCTGGCAGTTTCTTGATTTCAACAGTTTCTCGTTGGTCCTACCTATATACCAATATGCCAATTTTATTTCCTCTTTTAATCTATATTTTTCATGTTTTACTATGTACCCATTGATACCAAATCTTCCAAATTGAGTAATATTCTGAGTTCTTCTTTATCATTTAATTTCATTGTGAGTCTATTCATCTCTGCACATTCCAGGATTTTATGAATTGTAACTTCGTCAGACAGAACGGTAGACATCTTCAAGTATTGACAGCTTTGAAGATGTCTACCATTCCGTCTGATGAAGTTACAATTCATAAAATTGACTGTCAAGTATTCATTGTATGTATTGTATTTATTGTACTGTCCAAAAAAAAAAATGACGCTGAAAGATATTGACACATCTTCTATTATAGAGATCTTTGTAAATTTTTTAATATTTTGAATTTTTGTAACTTTTTAATATTTTGAATTTCAATAAAGTTTTTTTTTAAATAGGGAATATTGTTGTTCTTATTTTCCAAACTCAGGTAGTCCTCGATTTACAACATGGTCTCTGAGCAACCATTCAAAGTTACGACAGGCTTCTCTCCCCCCCCCCCCCCAAACGGTAGAGGTAGTTCTGGACAATTAATTTAGTGACTGTTTAAGTTACAACGGCGCTGAAAAACGTGGCCTGATCTTTTTTCACGTTGCAGCATCCCCATGGCCGCGTGATCACAATTTGGGGGAGGAGGAGCAGCAACCGCAATAGCTGTCATCTTTGGAAGCCATCTTTTACTTAGAAGCTTCCATGCTGCCCCATCTTAGTGCCTGAGAATTTGGGAGGCGGGTTTGCATAGAGAGGTGGAAGTTTAGACATAACAACTGTCAGGATTCTGGCAGTTACCCCCAATTAAATGATGAGTCTCGAGCCAAACTTCCAAAACTTAAAAAGGATTTATTGGGAGTTAACATGTCAGCACTGGCCTGGGTGCAGCCGACTGAGTCACATCATTCCTTGTCACCCTTGAGCCTGGTTTTCTCCCACCCTCTGGGTGTATCGTAATTCATATATTCTCCAATGGGACGCATCCATAGCCCAGAGTCATCAATCAGGCTCTCCAGTTAGAATTCTGTGCAGCAGAAACTTCAGTCACCTAGTTACTATCTTTGAAAAACTATGTATGGAATGCACTTTCAGTTTCCAAGCTGGCGCACTGCTCTTCCAAACCCCTATTCCCTCCTCCCTTTCTGTTGGCAACTCTAAAAAGACCATAGAAATATTTTTTGAGTTGACATACCACTTCACAAGGCGCCACAGTCCTTCTCTAAGCAGTTTTAGAGTCAGCCTCTTGCCCCCAACAATCTGGGTCCTCATTTTACTGACCGTGCAAGGACAGAAAGCTGAGTCAACCTTGAGCCTGGTTTTTCCCCACCCTCTGGGTGTATCATAATTCATATTCTCCAATGGGACACATCCATAGCCCAGAGTCATCAATCATGCTCTCCAGTTAGATATTTTCGAGACAGAAACTTCAGTCGCCTAGTTAGTATCTTTGAAAAACTATGTATGGAATGCACTTTTGGTTTCCAAGCTGCCGCACTGCTCTTTCCAAACCCCTTTCCCACCTCCCTTTCTGTTGGCCACTCTAAAAAGACCATAGAAATATTTTGTGAGCTGACAACAACACTCTTCCCATAAAGTCAAGGACAAGCTACCCCGCACCTGGCAAGGAGTGGTTGGAGGAATGTCTCCCGTTGGGGCGATGGCTGATTGGACCATGGGATGGACTGGTGGGTGCAGGGCCCGAGGTTTTGGTTTTTGGTTACAAAGGGAAAACCCGGAATTCTTAGATTTGGGTTTTCCCAGATGCGCCAGTCTGACTTCTTTAATACGTTCTTCCTTGGAGGAACTTTCTGAGTGCTGAATGAAATGGGGAATTTCATTGGAACACTGGCAATAGCACTTAGACTTATATACCGCTTCACAAGGCTTTCCAGCCCCCACTCTGAGTGGTTTACAGAGTCAGCCTCTTGTCCCCAACAATTTGAGTCCTCATTTTACAGATCTGGGAAGGATCGAAGGCTGAGTCAACCTTGAGCTGGTCAGGATCGAGCTGCTGAACTTCTGGCAGTCGGCAGAATTAGCCTGTAGTACTGCAGTCTAACACTGTACTACCAAATGGGGTCCTTGGTACTCTCTGAGACTGGATAATTTTTGCAGACATTTCATGATCCAACTAGGTAAAATCATCAGTGCTAGAAGGGAGTGGGGTTTGTGGAGAGGAGGAAGACGAGGAGGAGGAAGACGAGGAGGATGAGGACGAGGATTGATGGTCCTGGTTGCTCTCTGAGCTTGGATGCTTTTTGCAGACATTTCATGACCCTGCTAGGGAACATCATCAGTGCTAGAGGAGGAGGAGGAGGAGGAGGAGGAGGAGGAGGAGGAGGAGGAGGAGGAGGAGGAGGAAGAGGAGGAGGAGGAAGACTGATGGTTCTGGTTGCTTTCCAAGATTGGATGATTTTTACAGACATTTCATGACCCAACTAGGTAACATCATCAGGTGTGAAAAAGGAGTACTGATGATGTCACCCAGTTGGGTAATGAAATGTTTGCAAGAAAACCACCAAGCTGACCAAACCCCAAAGGCCCCACATTTCATCCCTATTCTACAAATATTATCTTTTACCTGTACAATTTCTGAAAACAAAGCTATACACATTATTATTATTTTTATTCTTAGAAACCTCTTTCAGAGGTGCCCCTTTTCCAGGTCTGTCCTTTTATTTATTTTTCCCCAAGAAAATGTGACCCCGGTACCAAAAGTTATTTCTTGACTAGAAGCACCTGACCGTACCCCAAATCCCATGCTCCCCTTACTCTTTTGGTGCATGATCAGGGTGTAGAGGCGGTGGAGTCCATCGGCTGCCCAGCAAGAGATGCTCTCATTGGGGTCACTGCAGGCCAGGACCAGCCCCCCTGCGATCTTCCCCAACTTGATGGTCTTCAGTCCCTACAGCGGGTGGGGAAGGCGGGAAAATAGGAGTGCGTATTATTTTATTCATGTATTTAATAAACATATTTATATAGGGGCTTCCCTGACATGGAATTGATGCTTATTTATACGAACTCTTTCTTACTTTGTTCCTTTGATTCAGGAAAGAGAGACATTTTTGTGAGATGTTTTAGTTTTAGCTGGCTGGGGAATTCTGGGAGTTGAAGGCC